CCAGTGACCCACTGACCCAGTACATCGACCGGGTCAATGACCGAGCCGGTTTTAATAACATTGTGCCATATCGGATATGTTATGTTTTGTCCTATTTACCATACATCACTAGAAGGGTACATTTATTCTTTTCTGAAATGCAATATATATACACTGAACCACTGGTAATGTGAAAATTAAAAAAACAATAGCAAAATATAGATTTGAACAACTATTTCGTTGACAAAAAAAAATTGATGCAGACGTTTTCAGAATAGAAATTATACAAACACCAAAAGCAACGTTGATGCATATATTTTCAGCAAATTAATGGTTTTACATTTGTCACGTCACATGATCCAAAAAAAAGTTTCTACGCACACATTCAAGAGGACAGAACAAATAAAATGATGAAAGAAAAAAAAATCATATAGATCCTACCTCTTGAATGTGTGTAAGAACTTTTTTTTCAAGTCATGTAACATGACAAATGTGAAACTCATTACATAAACACTAAAAGCAAAAATTGATTTGCCTGACAAAAGTAGGGAGAGTGAGAAAGTAAAATCTAATTAACCATTAACACAGGACTCCTTTCATCAATAATTTTGTAGTTATACACTTGTATAATATTACCCTCTAAGCTAAATTAGTTTGTTTTTTACACTTCTATTATATTTGTTTTAAGGATTGAAAATGTCTTACGAATGGTACTAAATTACAATGGAAAAGGATATACTTATCACTATAGAAGTTTATCACTTTTACAACCAACTTAATCACCGTTAATTTTTGTCAATCTAACGGTTATAATTTATTGGATTTATTGAGAATTAATAAGTGCGACCCAATAATTTCCAATAAATTATAACCGTTAGATTGGTGAAAATCAATGGTGATTAGGTTGGTTGTAAAAGTGATAAACTTTTTTGGTGAGAAGTATATCCTGCCCCAATTACAATATAGGCTTACTTTAAACCTTAAATCTTAGATAATATGATCCTTATCCATTAAATCGAAAAGTAAAGAGAACATTTCCTGCCTAATCATAAGTAATTTTAACCAAATAATAAAAGATAATGGTCCTTGTAAAAAATAAAAGCAAATAAAAAATTCAAAGACTCAGCCTACTTAGATTTTTTTCACTAATAATAAATTTACTAGAGTAAAAAAATCATATAATGTTAATTCTAAAGTTTAAAATTCAAACTAAATGATAAAAAAAATAAAAGCATTTTTTCCTTAGATCTTAGGTTAAAAATGGAGCCCCTATTTTAGAGGTTAAGGTATGCTAAAAAAACGAATCACAATAGATTAAAGTGAAAAACAGTTACGAAGATGGTCACTACTCACCACCAAAAATTGAAAATCTTGAGCTCATCGAGTTAATGGCTACTATAAGATTTTGAAAAGTACAATATTAAGATTATCAAAACAAAAATTCTCTCTAGTCAAAAAGCCAATTTACATATTTAAGTGTTTATATTCTTTTAAAGTTTAAATAAATTTTTTAGATTATTCCTTTCAATTATATCACCTTAAAAGAATTAGTTTCAATTGATTGATAATTTCCATTTTTAGCTTTTGATTGGTAGTGTAATTTTTATAAAAAAAGAAATAAAGAAAAGAAAAAATGCAAGAAGTGCAAAAAAATTCTGAAAGACTCCACAACCACAAGTATATACTCTGTTTCCACTCCAAATCCGATTTCTTCAGGGGAAATGAACTTGGACATGAAAATTGAACTAGAATTTCAACTTCCCCTAAAACCCTAAATCCCCAATTTTTCTCCCCTTTTCCCATTTAACAAAACCCTAAAACCCAGAACAACAAAATGGCCATTGAGGAAAACCAAGGTTAGGATTTTTAAATAGGATAGGAGAGGAGAGGGTGAGTCATGATGAAATGTTAGCCATTAGATATATAAAATGATTCAAGTGCCAAAGGGGATAGATCAAGTGTCCTACACGTGAGGGGTTGCATGTGTCACTATCTATGTGTCTTAATTTTATACAACTATCATATTGATCGCAAGCTCCTTGTGGATGATGAAATAGGCATAACCGCATAAGGATGAAAAAAAAAACTCAAATAAATAAGTACCTCACCTACTTACAATTTTTTCTTGTAAAACCAGACACTTAGAATGCCCACACAACATACAAAAATGACAATGAGTAGTTAGAGAAATTTAAACCATAAACTCTGCTTGCTATTGGTGCTATCAATACAAAAAATTCAAATTGAACAAGCGAAATCAAGCGATTTTTAAACCATAAATTCTGCTTGCTATTTTCTGCTTCAGAATAAGAGAAAATATCAATACATCTGTTTCTACACACGAATCCTAATACTGTTATCAATCCTAAAAGGCATCAAGAACAGAAAAATTAAAGCGATTTTTGTATGGATCCCAATGAAGGCCAATCTCATCCCCTTTCTTTAAGCCTCTCCTTGATACAAAATCTTTAACCCAATTTCCAATGAAAACATAGCTTCTTGAAGAAACCCATTTCTTGAAAATTAAAGAATGAATGGAGGCAGTGTCTACATCCCAAATGTCAACTTGAACACCTCTTTCAACGTCTCCATCCAACACCGGCACCACCAAATTCTCAGCAAAATCTTTAGGGAGCAAGAGCCTCCTCATGTTGCCAAGATCACTGCCATTAAGGACTTTCTTGATCTTCCAAGGGTCATCATAAAGCATCAAATCCAAAGAGTAACCCCAACTTCTCTCTACACACACCTTCTTTCTTGCAGCAACATGAGTTTCTTCATAAATCTTTCTCTTCTTGGTTAAAGAAACAGAGACATCATCAGTGTCGTATGCAGTTGCTGACATTTCTTTCATGTTTTTGTGAATTGGGTTTTGGTTTCTTGAAAGCTATGAGGTTTTTCTGTTTTCCTGTTACGGGTCAATATATATAGAAGTTGCCTTTTATGCCAGCCCACTTCACTTTAAATGTTTATTCTGCTATATAATTTTAACATCTTTTTATTTTATTTTAATTTTTATCTATACAGATATAATTTATATCTTAGATAATTCTTATTCAAAATATAGGAAAAATAAAAAATTAAATTGTAGGACTTGAGCATTTGTAGTTTTGTGAAGATATCAAAACGTAAAAAAAATATTGACTGATTATAAAAAGAGTAAACACCCTTTTTAAAATGTTTTTTTTCCCTGGCAATAAAAAATGCCACCTCACTTAAACATTTGTTCTGATAAAGAAATTTAAACTTTACATTAGTAATACATAATAATATTGGAACATGGCCCTTTTTTTGTAATTTCAGGGACCAATTTGGTCCTTTTTTATTGCCAGGGACTAAAAACGAATTCATAGATATTGACAGGGACTAAAAAGGGTGTTGAAAATAAGTCATGGTGTCCTAAGATTAAACACCTATTATTTTTAGTTGCATTGTTTGGAAAAAAAATTTAATTATTGCATTTTAATTAAATAATTACGCATTTATTGCAGTTTTGGAAATAATTACGGATCTATTGCACAATGTGACGCCTCATTTATGCGTCTCTCACCTAAGGTTGACACGTGTCATTTTTTTTTTCTAAAAAAAATAATAATTTAATCATAAAACTTCTGAAGTCCATACCTTTTGACTCGAGTATCCAATTCAGGTAATTCTTTTTTTGATTCCACATAACTTTTCGAGATCTACGCAATGACATCTCATTTGATATATTTTATATCTCACAAACATAATTTAAATTTAAATTAGGTAATCCTTCTTCTTTAGAGATTTAGAATATTTATTTAGTTATTTCCTTTGTTAATACAGATTTTTCAAATTGATTATTGAGTTTAAAGCACAAATCAAATCTTTATTTTGTTTTCCATATTAATAATAATTGTTACTTTTAATTTAAATCACAAACCAATTTTTTTTTTAATAAAAATAAAAAAATTATTTTTTAAATTAAATCACACATCAAATCTTGATTTATTTTTTATATTAAATCACAAACGCATAACTCAGAGGCTTCTGAGTTTAAAAATGTGACACGTGTCAACACCTGACACGTCACCAATCACGTCTAAATTAGGTTTTCAATCAAGAGGCAATCACGCCTAATTTAGGTAATTTTTTTTTTGAAAAACATTCATAAGCCATCATTAATTTCTGACCACGAATAATAACCCAGAAGCTTATAGCATTAATCATTAATTTCAAAAATAATATCCTTTTTTCTTAGATATTTAGAATATTTATTTAATTATATTCTTTTTTTCTACAGATTTTTCAAATTGATTTTTTAGTTTAAATCACAAATCAAATCTTTATATTGTTTTCCTTATTAGTAATAATTTTTATTTTTAATTTTAATTTAAATCACAATCCAAATTTTTGTTATAATAAAATAAGTATTATAAAAAAATTAAATCACAAATCAAAATTTTATTTATTTCTTTATCTTAAATCACAAACCCAGAACTCAGAGGCTTCTTGGTTTAACCGCTCTTATAATACCATTCTTGCAAATTAAAATTGTGTTTATGAGAAATAAAATATATCAAATGAGATGTCATTGCGTAGATCTCGAAAAGTTAAGTGGAATCAAAAAAAGAATTACCTAAATTGGATACCGAAGTCAAAAGTTATGACCTTCAGAAATTTTATGATTAAATTATTATTTTTTTGGAAAAAAAAGACACGTGTCATGGGGCGTCTCTCCTCAGATGAGAGACGCCTAAATGAGGCGTCACATGTGATGCATGCACGACCACATTGTGTGGGCCTGATCAACTCATTCCTTGTGTAACGTGTGCAGAGTCATGGAACTTCCCCGGAGGACTCGAGAGACGAATGAGGGTCAGCCTGATCCTAACCTGACTGCATTAGCTGAGATGCAGGTGGCTAGACAAGCCGACCAGGAGGCCATTAGAGTGGCCAATCAGGTTATGCTGGACGCCGTGAGAGAGGCAAACAGGAAAGCTATAGAGGACGTACTTGAGGCGAATAGGCTGGCGAACATGACCATGATGAGGGTCATGTTGGAGGAGATGAGGACTGGTCATGTTGGTGGCCAGCATCCTCTGCCACCACCTCCACCGCCACCACCACCACCATCGCCTCCACCTAGTCACCAGGATGGGCATGGAGGAGGCGAGGTGCACATTCCTGAGGACGATAGTCAGAGCCTCATGGAGGGTGTTAGTCACCTCACAAGGATGATGCAACCCTTCTATGAGCTAAAGGAAGATCAAGAAACTAGAGACCGTCGGCTGAATGCTTTCCGTAAGCATAAGCCACCTTCGTTTGATGGATCCTATGATCCTATTGCTGCTGCTAGATGGCTCCAGGCCCTGGACAAGATATTCAGGGTGATGCAGTGTACGGATCCCCAGAAGTTAATGTTCATTACTTATATGCTGGAGGGAGACGCTCATGAGTGGTGGACGAACACCTCTCAGGTCTATGAGATGCAGGGTCATGTTAGGACGTGGCCATTCTTTGAGGAGCTATTTCTAGGGAGGTACTTTCGTATGATGCTCAAGAGAAGAAGCAAGGGGAGTTCGAGCGGTTGATGTAGGGCTTGATGTCTTTTAATGAGTACTTAGCTAAGTTCAATGAACTGGAAAAATTTGCACAATTTAGGATTGCTATGCCTACACCGACATTCTTGGCTTCTAAGTTCCGTAGGGGACTTAATGAGCAGATAGCAGAAAGGATAGCTGGAGCGACATCAAGAGACTTTGGCACAATGATTTAGCAGTGCCGTGATATAGAGGATGTATGTGTGGTCAGCAAGGCTAAAAAGGCCAAATTATCTGAGGTGAAGGGAGTTAGTAGATCCACTTCCTGGAGAGATAAGAAGTTTGGAGGAAAGGGTAAAGGGAAGCAGTTCTCTGCTAGGCAGGCGTCGAACAAGTTCAAGAGGACTTTGATGCAGGGGAGTGCAGCTAGACCTTCCACTACTCCTAGGTGTACTGGACGTGGGAGATCACATGTTGGGCCGTGTGCCACCGGTCAGATCATTTGTTTCCATTGTGGCAAGGAGGGCCACTATGCCAGAGATTGTCCTTCGTTAGCTGCTAGAGCTACAGCAGTTCAGGCGATTCCTCTTCAGATGATTCCTTCTCCACCTACAGCGGCACCTGTTGTGCCACCAGCCATGGGCCGAGTGTATACCTTGGATCGCCAGCAGTTGGACCGAGCTTCGAACCTTGTGAGAGGTACCGTTTCTATTGGTAGTCGTGCTGTAGATGTATTATTTGACTCTGGGGCTACGCATTCTTTCATCACGACCCTGATTGCTTGAGTTTCCTATTTTTGTGCTTTCTCCACCGTTGCGGGTTACTGCCGCCACCGGAGAAAAGTGTGATACTTCTTCTGTACATCGCGATGTCGTGTTTCAGCGGGATGACTGTGAGTACTCGGTAGATCTGATTAGATTGCCGATGGCTAATTTGGAGATAATCCTTGGCATGGACTGGTTGTCCAAGAATTGTGTGATGATTGATTGTTGTGCTAAGCGAGTGGTGATGTCTCCTTGTGATTCCCCTACCAGTTCTTCTCCTTATATTTCAGTGTTGTAGGCTAGGAGAGCCTTGAGAGCAGGGGCATTTGGTTATTTTATGTTAGGAGATTTGGTAAGTGGGACACAGAGGATATTACCGGCATTCCTGTGGTGAGAAAATTCCTCGAGGTGTTTCCTGAGTTTCCACCACAGCGGTAGATAGAGTGCTGACCACTCAAGATACTTGATCGTGGAGAAAAAAATCTGAGGAGAAAGGTCATAGCCATAGTAAAAGTGCAATGGGAACGAAGAACTCCAGAGGAGTGTACTTGGAAGCGGAAGGACGAGCTTCTCCGGCAATATCTCGAGTTTAGGGACAAGTATGTCTCTAATTTTGAAAACAAAATTCTTAAAAGGTGGGGTGAGTATAAGAACCTGCATCGCTAAATAATTAATTAAATAAGGTTATCGATACCGAAGCATGTATTTGATAAAGATTACGCATAATTAAATAAGGTCGCTTTTCTGACGAAAAGTGCAGATACCGATTCTGCTTCGCGGTATAGATGCGTACCGATGAACTATCCCGAAAAATTATAATAAAAATATGAATATTCCTAGAAAAATATCTAGGTAAAGGATATCAAGTTTAGAGTAAGAATAATGAGTGTTGATGCCAGAACTAATCCGAGTACGTATAAAATGTGTACTGGCAAAGTGGTACGAAAATTATAATAAAAATATGATAATTTCTAGAAAAATGGCTAGGTTCAGAAGAGGAAGTTTGAGATCAAAATAATTAGCGTTGCTATTAGAACTAATATTGACAAATTAAGTTAGTGCGCCTAAAAATAGGAAGGCACAATAACCTATGTCAGAATTTTTGCATGCTTCTACATGAATGCAGCTGCTGCCTTCTGTGTTCTCCCCCTTGACACCCCTTCCCTCTTCAAGAGAACCCCAAGTGATCACCTTTCTCCTTTGTTTTCACCAAAACACTAGTGTTGAGTGTGAGCAAGCTTTGGGAGGTAGAAAGGCACCTAATTTCTGAGTTGTGGCCACAGTGTAGTGAGGGTTAGGGGCTCAATTCATTGGTTGTGGAGTGGAAGCCATTTCCTATGCATTTGAAGCTTCAAGAAGCTATTTTTGGAGAAAAAAGATCAAACTTGTGAAACATTTTCAAGACCTTGTAGTGGCAGAATCATTGGGCTGAGTAGAGAGCTCCAGGATCATCCCTCTTCTCTGTTTTGAGCCTTTGGGTATATGCTTCAACCTTTGTTCTTGAGTTTTCATGAAAAAGATCAATTCTTGGAATGTTAAATGAGATGGTTATTTAACCAACATGAAGTACCCTAGCTTAAATGTATCTAAATATGCATGTTTGAATGTCTGGAAACACTAAAAATGGAACCTTGAAAGGATATCTTCGCGAAAATGCAAAACTGCATTCTGTCGCGAATATAGATATCTGGATATGTGCCCAGTGCTATCTGGATATTAGCCCAGTGCTATCCAGATATGGATATCCGGATATGCCCCCAAGGAATATCTGAATATTCTGGAAAATTCATAGTTTGAGTTATTCTGTCCAAACAAAAGCGTGGTTTAGGTTTTTGAACCCTATATTGGCTAGTATGAACCTCTGTAATGATCTAAATAAGTCAGAACCTAAGATATTGAAGGCTTATGGCTTTGAGAGAAGCTTACGGCCATTAAACGATAAAGGAAATATTGTCCTAATGCAATGAAATGCTAGACTATGGATATTGATGATGTGAATGTTATGAAAACAAATCATGGACTTTGCTGGACTTTGTTATTGCGTGTGACCCTTATGGAGGAAAGTTGTTTTCTGACTACTTGTTGTTTTATCAATTCTTAATACATATTTATTTTGTGTCAAATTACTTTCAATCAATTTTCTGGTGACAAATTATTCACGACTTTTACAAATTCCTATCTGATTCAAATTAGTTTTCTATGGTTTATTGGTGCTTGAACACAATTCCTCGTGGGAACGATCTTTACTCATCATTTTATTACTTGTACGACTAGTGCACTTGCTAAATGTCCAACAAGTTTTTGGCGCCGTTGTCGGGGAATTTGTTTTTCAACCCTAACTGATACCATAGAATTATGAGATTGAATCCTTTTATTTTCAGTATTTTAGTTTATGTTAAGTTTCTGGTCAATTTTGATTCTGGTATATGCGAGGTACACTTGATCCGAATTTGTTGTTGTATGATCCAGAATTAGAAAGGACATTGAGGAAGCACAAAAGGGCAGCCAGGCAAAGGAGACAGTTGGAAGAAATTGGTGAATCAATTATGGTTAATCAGGAAGAGATAATGGCAGAGAATCACAGACCACCACCACCACAGAGGACACTAGGAGAGTACATGACTCCTGCAGTAATTCCTCCAATTGGGAGTGTTGTGCGCCCAACAGTGGAGCCCAACAACTTTGAATTGAAGCCTGCTTTGATACATTTGGTGCAGAAGGATCAGTTTGCTGGAACCAGTGTAGAGGACCCTTACTTGCACATAGAGAACTTTCTATCGTTGAGTGATACTGTGAAGATAAATGGTGTCACAAGAGATGCAATTCTATTGAGACTATTCACTCATTCACTGACGGATGATGCATGGAGATGGCTGCAATCATTGCCACAAGGAAGTATAACAACTTGGGATGATTTGCAAACCAAGTTCTTGCAAAGGTTTTTCTCAGCATCCAAGTGGGCCAAGTTGAAGGATGAGATTACAAGCTTTAAGCAGAAAGAGTCAGAATCCATTTATGAGGCTTGGGAGAGATTCAAGACTTTGTTGAGGAAATGTCCACAGCATGGAATTGAGGCATGGCAACAAGCAGCAATCTTCCTGCAAGGAATGACCACTAACACTAGAACCTTGGTGCATGCCACTGCTGGTGGATCATTGACTACCAAGACCCCTCAAGAAGCCTTGGATATCTTTGAGTCATTAGCATCTCAAGAATTTGATAATGCCCCAGTGGCTGACAGAAGGACAGGAGTCATCAGGTTGGATGGTTATGATGCTCTGTTGGCAAGGAATGACCAACTGATGCAGACACAGAGACAACAGCAGCAACAATTAGATACCCTTATCAAGCAACTCTCTTCACAAAAGGTAGCCTCTGTGGAAACCAAATGTGTATGTGCCATATGTGGCAAAGGCCATGTGACAGAGGAGTGTGATTATGGGGGATCACCAGAACAAGCAGAGGTGAATGGAGTGTGGTATGATCAGAATAATCAAAGGAACTACAACAATCAGGGAAGGAATGTTTATGTGCCACCATGGAAGAACAAGAATCAACACCCAGGATTCAGCTATAGTTCCAACCATCAATTGAACCCACCATTACATCCTCCACCACCACATATGAAGGAGCAGTCAAGTGATCCTGCTGCATGGGAGAAAGTGTTTGCTCAGTTATCTAAGACAACTCAGGATTATATCCAGGGGTCTAATTCATTCAGGGAAGAGACAACTGCATTCATGCAGGAGACCATAACTTCTTTCAGAAATCAGGAAGCATCAATCAGAAATTTGGAGACCCAGATTGGTCAATTATCAAGACAAATATCAGAGAGACCACAAGGGAAATTTCCAGGTGATACATTAGTGAATCCTAAGGAGCACTGTAAAGAAATTATGGCAAGAAGTGGGTTGGTACTTCAACCAGTGAAAAAGAATGTGGAAAATAAAAAGAATGAAGAAGAGGTTGTGGTTGAAGATGTAGTCTCTGATGATGAAGTAGAGAAGATGAGAAATGAGGAAAGTGAGAAGGAAGTAGTTTTTAGAGATGTTATAGTTGGAATTGAGAAAGAAGAGGAAGGGAAGGACAATAAGAATGAAGGAGAGGTAGAAGTTGGTAAAAATGCTTCCCCACAAAAGATGATGAAGTGGGAAAAGAAGAAGATGGCTGACAAAAAAGAACAGCCAATTATTTTATCTCCCTATGCTAGAGTTCCCTACCCTCAAAGGTTGAAGCAAGAGATTCAGAAACAGCACTATGCAAGATTTCTGGATATCTTCAAAAATTTACAAATTAACATACCATTTTCTGAAGCACTGGAAAATATGCCTCACTATGCAAAGTTCATGAAGGTTCTTCTTACTATGAAGAGGAAATTAACTTATGGTGAGACAGTGGCCCTAACAGCAGAGTGTAGTGCCCTAATCCAGAAGAAGCTTCCAACAAAAATGAAAGATCCTGGAAGCTTCAGTATCTCTATTGCTATAAGAGATGTGGAGGTGGGAAAGGCATTGTACGATTTGGGAGCCAGGATAAACTTGATGCCATTGACAGTATGTAGAGCTTTGGGAAATAACACTTTGAAGGAGACCAATCTTATTCTGCATCTTGCAGATAGATCTATCAAGAGGCCTGAAGGTGTGGTTGAAGATGTCTTGGTCAAGGTAGACAAGTTTATCTTTCCATTGGATTTTGTGATTCTTGACATGGAGGAAGAGGATACAGAAAGTCCTCTATTGTTAGGAAGACCCTTTTTAGCAACTGCAAGATCTTTGATAGGTGTTGAACAAGGAAAGTTGTTGCTAAGGGTTGATGAGGAAACAATCACAATTGATGTATTTGAAACTATCAAGCACCCTGTTGATGTGGGGGATTGTTTTAGATTGGATGTGATACAGGAGGTTGTGGAAGAAGTGAATAAAGAAGAAGAATTCTCAGTTGAGGAAAAAAAGATCAGAAGAAGAGACAGGTACAGAAGATTACCAAGAAGAGCCAGAAGTGGAAGAGCTTGAGAAGAAGAT